TCGCGAGCACAGGCGCGGGTAGCACGAGTGCTCATCCACCCCACGACCCCGCGCGCTGTAGGGACTACCAGCGCGCACGGACGCGCATCTGCGTGTGACCTTGCGCACCTTCGGAACGACCAGCACTTGCAAGCGCGCTCCTGTGGGCAACCTCGCGCTTCGTTGGGAGAACCAGGGCGTGCAGGCGCACAGTCCCACAATGCTGCGCGGGAACAGATCGGGTCTGTGCGCATGAGCGCAGCATCGCGTGGGCAGACCGGACCCGGGCACACAAACGTGCAACTCACGAACGCGCATCTGCGCGCGACCTCACGCACTATCGAGGTAGCGTGCAATGCACGAGCGCGCATCTGCGCGGGACCTCACGGGCTATCGGGACAGCCTGTGCGCACTGGCGCGCAGTCCTGCACGGGGACAGAACGGGTCCGCACACATGAGCACGCAATCGCGCAGCACCGCACGAGCAGACCAGGTCCATGCACACAAGCGAGCAGCGCACGAGTGCGCATCTGCTCGCGCACGACCTCACGCACCATCGGGATAGCCTGTCCGCACGAGCGCGCATCTAAGCGACAGGCAGCGCACACGAGTGCTTATCAACGCGCGAGTGCACACACCACGCGGTGAGGCGAGCGGGCGTCCGCGCGGACCGGCGCCTCTAGCAGTGAGGCTGCGCGCGCTTGCACCACCACCGTCCCGGCCAGGACTGGAAAACAACACCAGGACCTTGAATGACACTGGGACTTTGGCCAAGACTGGGGCTTTGGCCAAGACCGGGGCTCTGGCCGAGATCGGGATTTCTGGCGAGAATCAGGACTGGAGCCAAGACCGAGACTTGGGCGGGAATCGGGACCAAGGGTGAGATCAGGATCAGGGAAGGGACCTGGACCGAGGTTCGGACCCGGAAAGGGGATACGGACCGAGCCAGAACCGGCACTGAGAAAGGGAACGGGCACGACCAGGACCATCGCCGGATCGAGATTGGTACCAAACTTAGGGATTTATTGAGACCGAGGCACAAGGGAGCTAGAACATTGGGCGGAGCTGAAACTTCAGTTGGGGCAGGGACTTCGGACGGGGCCAAGGGCATTGGTCGAGGCCAGAAGACATCAAGCGGAGACTTCTGAGTCAAGTCGGGACCTTTGAGTCAGGACGGGACTACGGTACTGGGTGCAGACAGCCAGAGACTTTGGGGCACAGGCTGATCCACGGATGGACAGGCTGGGACATCGGAACCAGGCCCGGACCGCGGGGCCTCGGCAAGGGGGGATAACTTTAACTTTAAATAAGACACACACCCGAGCTGTAGAGAAGACAGCGTGACTCAGTTGGTCAGGGTTGCAGGGCTCCGATCAGACTAAGGCCGGAGCCATCAGACCAGACCAGCGATATCTGTATCATGTCGGGACTTTTAGGCTACACCAAAGCTCTTGAGTTACATCGGGACCTTGTACCGAGTTGGGACCTCCGGTTAGACCTGGACTTTGGGGTTAAAAATTGAGATCTTGGTTGCATCCAGCGAGTACGACACGACGACAGATGCCGAGTGCTTCTGAGGCTTTATCATAAGGAGGACGGCGGCACAAACGGACTTATGGCGAAGCTCGACCTCGAGCTATGGCCCCAATGGGCCTGGGAGTCCAGTTCTGACACTGAGAGTTCCAGTACAGTTCCCTAGGTTCAGCGGGCGCGTTACTGGCGTCACCCCATTGGGCGGAGAATCCGTCATAGGCTGTTAGTAAGATCAGTCGGGACTCAAACTGATTTTCCAGTTTCGGGCGCGGGAACTATTTCAGGGACTGGAACTCGCACTGTGGACCCTATTACTCTGGATTAAATGGGAATACATATATTGTTTCTCCCGAGTGCTGGTTTGTGAGTCGGTCGTCGTCGCGTCTTCGATCGATTTTAGTGGTCATTGTGTGGATCTGGACTGACCAGTTTTCTTGTAGGATACAGGAGCCCCGATCGACCCTCCTGTGGGTGACAGACACGGAGCGAGAGACAGGGTCCGATCGGCGTGCCGACAGATCGCTTCAACCGGTCGACACCGTGCGACCAGGCTCGTTCGACTGCGCTTCCACCAGGGTTGGGTCACGAGCCCTGGTGCCTGTCACTACTGTTCGGTCCAAGTTCCCCTCGATACTGGTAGGGTAACGGTCCTGCGTGCTGGTCGCACTGAGGTAGGATAGTAGGAATAGGGGGTGCGATCAATGTGAGCCTAGTAACTGGCCTCTACAACACACTGAAATTTTTAGGGGGGGGAAAAAAAAAACTTTTGAACCTAAATCCGGATGTCGGCGGCATCCGGAAATGACGGTGAGAACCGGCGGTGTGACCAGCCCTTCCCTTGTTTGGTAAGGCCGCATGGATGTGTGGTTGCAGAAAAAAACAATTCTAGACCGCGCGATTCACGGCTGTTAGGTCGTGCGGCTGTTAGGCCGTGCGATTCACGGCCTGAATGGCAAAAAAAGAATGGTTGCGTTGCGTATGCGGCCGTGGCATAAAATGTGGGGTTATTTTGCATCGTTCCCAAGTTGTCTCTGGTTAGTTTTGTTTTCTTTACTCCTACGTAACATGGTCGGGAGGGCTCTCGCCTTTTGCAGAAATGGCGAGAGCCGATGAGCTCGACAATGGGGACCCCCGCTTTCAGCTCCTAACTTCCGCTCCCCCCCCCGACCCCCCAAAATATCGGGGCAGCGTCCTGACTAACGGCTCCATTGGTGGCAAGTTTGGTTAAAATGATGCAAATCTTATTAAACCACCAGTACTTGGCCCAGCTACCGGCCACGGAAAAAAGCAGAGTAAAAACGTTTCTAGTCGGATGAATTTGGGCGCTCCTGTAGTAGCCCGTACGTTTCCTAAAATTGTGGCGCGTTAACGGGCACGACTCTAGGAAGTACTGGTGGTTTAACACCCTTGGGCCTGGACCCACTAGCGAGGTATTCTACTTCGTGGTTGACGTCGATCACGTGCGGCTGGGGGTGACGAACACGAACCGCACATCTCACTTTGCATCGATGGGCCCGCCTGATGCAGTGTACAGTGGTGCCCATGAGAAAGCACCAACCAATGAACTGGCTGCTACTGGAATTGTTTTTTTATATTAAACATTGACGGTGGTCTCGATTTCCAGACTTTTGGAGGGGGGAAGGGACGTTTTTGAGACTTCGCGCATTGCTGTTTACGCCTTGCCGTACTACAAAAAAAAATAAAAATTGCGGGCAGTTACTATCGTTCCGTCAGACATGGTGGTTTTAGTACAGTCGGGACATAGGGCCTGGCAACGTGAGGATAATAGTGCACATGCATTTGGACTCTTCCTCGGCACAGTTCATTCATATTTTTTGACTTGTTCTTTTTTTTTTTCCCTCTCATAAACGCCCAGGTTGTTGTAGAGGCTGGATTACAGACACATGAGAGTCACCTTCGACAATCGGCCCAGTTGTAGAGGCCCCCTAATCCTATGGGACTTCCTCCCAACCTACCTCTTTCCTCCTGAAAGCGTACAAAAAAAAATCGACGATAAAAAAAATTATAACAGAAATTAATTTTGTTTGATTCATTCAAAACCATTCAAAAATACAAAAATGTTGTCACACATGGTAGAATACTTCGCTAGTGGGTCCAGGCCCCTGGGCTTTAGGGAAAAAAAACAAAAATAAATAAACTCTCACCTCACATATTTTTTCTTAACAGCCGTTCTTTCATGTCATGGAACATTTCTTTCACTACCTACCTACCACTACTCCTAAGGCTACACACGGGACCCCTGGGGCCAGGTCCGACTAACGAAAAGTTCAGCTTGGACGCTGGGTTTTCAACCATGTGCGGCCCGGGGCGACTGGCGCTGACCGCTGATCGTGGCAGGGATCGACCGCGAAGCTGTTTTTCGCGTCCCCGCCTATGTCGATGCAACCCCGCGTCCAATAGAAAGATTTGGATTTTAGTTTTCGGCGTGTTTGCAGAGCACATTCGTCGGGCGGGAAGCTACAAATCTATGGAATTTTTTCGTGTGGGGTGTTTTTGAAGCTTCGCTTTTTTGTTTTTTAATTCAGAAAATCGTTTGGGTCGGTGGGTCTTTCTTTTTTTTTCCTTTACGAACTGTGCAGTTGCCCCCATACGCGCCGGGTGGCACGGTGTCAGGTTGTTTCATGAGTCTGTGAACCCAGATGTGCTCCGACGTCCATGTTCATCACCGCTGCACGCATCCGGTCTACCGCGTAGTCTATGTGCATTCGTGAAAGCTGGCACTTTGTCATCATGATGAACAGGGAGCACTGGCCGCAACGACATCCGGGTGTGCATGTGGAAACGTCGTAGTCCCTGCTAGCGGATCTTGGCTGGTTCCATGCATAGACCCCGAATCCTACGTCGTGTCGTCCATAGCTTCATGCAGCTGCAACCACTAGGCAACGTTTGCTCCTTGTATCGTTGGTGTCTCCGTTCCGTTATTCTCCGTAGACGAGTTCAGTGTG